ACTAGGCTAAGTTTAGTGCTATAAACTCATTTGCCTGATTAAGTGGCCATTAAATGAGATTTCATAAATCACACTTGTTGATATTTCCCTGTAAACTCCCAAAGGTTAAGCTCTCTGCTAGATAACAGTGTCCATAATAAGGAAGCACTGAATAGCAGCTTCATTAGATTATATTTTTGTTGTTTTCTTTTTAATTTCTTCTCCAACACTGGCATTTTTAAGATGTGACTTTCCCATCCACCTGAGGCTCTGCACAATTTCTGTATTTCCACGTAAGCAGTTGTATTGGTATTCATGTCTTTAAACACTAGTAATATTATTTTATGCACTGTCATCATTTTTCTTATATTGGGACTTTCATCATGTGAATTTTAACTCTCATGGTCATGAAACTATAATCTTATTGAAGGGGTGGATTGAGACCATCTTCTGGGTCTCCTGGAAGACAGTTAGATTTTTTATATTGATGGGTATCTATTTTTTTCTTTTGGAAGACCATCAAAATGGAAGATGGATCAATAAAGATACTTTAGAATACTGTCAAAAATATTTCTGGATCTGCTCCTGTTATTGACCATGTTACCTGTTGTGCATAATGAAAAATCAGTGTTGACTGACTGCTATTATAAGCATTATTTATTGTTGCATCAAAATTGACAAAATGACCTCTTTTGCATCTTTTTTTTCTGTTTTTTGTCTGTACATTTGACAGCTTTGCTGCCTTGTTTGTCTTTACCATCTACTTTTTCTTATTCTTATTCAAAGCTGCATAATGAAGCCTTTTTCAATGTAGGGTAAAATCGTATTTTATTTCAACAAATTCAGCATGTTTACATGATGTCAACCCAATTGTCCAAAATGAGTTTTCAATTTTCTAAATGATGTAATTTAGCAGCAAGACTGTATTCTTCAGTCTGCTCAACTATCATGAATACTACTACAGTTTATCATGGAGTTTTTAATTGTGACATTTCTGACACTGTCAACAGTTATTGACAAAAGTTTTAAAATATGGCAATAATGGCATGAACAGCATGTAAAAGAAGACACGACATCCTGTCCCAGAAATATACATAAAATTTTAGTTATATATAACAATGAGCTGTATGTCATGTTAAGCTTGTATGTAAAATGTGTTATTCTTGTCAGCTTTTTAAAAAATTGTAAAACAAGTGACATGGGCCAAAGTAATGCATTTTTAAATTAACTGTACATGGAATCAGGCTATTTCTTTAACAATAAAAAAGTTACCTTCAAGTATGGTTTATACGTTCTTTATTTCACAGTTTAAGGATCATTACCACATATGCGCTAGCCAGCTAGCTTCATTATTGCATAATTCTCAATAATCTACTCAACATAATTTTCTACCTTATCACAGAAATAAATGGTTCTGCTAGAGATGCATAATTTTCCTACCTTGCTTGATCCCACAGTGAAATTCAACATAACAGTTATTAAATATTGATAATATTTATCATGCCAAAAGACCGAATTTAAATGCTATATAATGCCTTAATAATTTACCTCCCCCCAATATATAAGCATATGCAATATATTCCATTACAATTTATATCAGACATCTTGTAAATACATTAATGCTGGCAACACATACCTAATGTCATTTTGATACATAATCCCCAGCAATGGATTTATGTTTTATATGTAGCATGTAAAACTTTGTATGTGCTCCTCTTTTTTTGTGAACAAACAACATAAACAGCAACATAAACAAAGGACACCATGACAGTTGTAAAAATAATAAAAAGACTGAGATTTCCAAATCTGATTAGTATTCATACCAGTCACACAGTTCCAATAAATTAAATCATTATCATTTATCTTTTGTGTCTAGCGATGAAAAAGCATACAGCAAACATCAAAAAGTGCATTCATTTCCTTACGAGTACAGGTACTTCTGACATAGTTCCGGATTTAAGATTTCACATGATATTCGCCAATCTATTTTGAAAACAGAAAACTACCCTTGTTGCAAGATCTTTCTACACATAAAATTCTTTTCTTATATATTTATGTACTAAATTCATGCGGGCCTATCCATTGGAGCAACATTAGGCCTACGTGGTATAGGTGGTACAAATGGCTTCTCCTCTGTGCCCATTTGTCCAGGCTCCATGCCAGGTCTTTGTGGTATGGGGGGTGGTACAGCTGGTGGAGGTGCCGAGCCACCCTCACTTCTCTGCCCAAAGTCAAAGTGACTGGGGCTATTTGGAGGCGAAATGGAGTCTGTCCTGTTAGGGGGAGGAGGGGGTGGACTCCCTGGACTGCCCAGGGGAGGGGTAGGAGGGGGGCTCATCCCAGGGGAACCCAACTGCTCAGAAACGGGGGTTCCTGAAGGCAGGTCCTGTCTCATAGGTCTTGTTGTAGGGACAGGAGGCGGAGGTCCTCGGCTCTCTTCTTTCGAGGGTCTAGAGGGTGGAACCGGGGGTGGTGGCCCCCTTGTGGAAGAGGCCTGGGAAGTGGGGGAAGTGTCTGGGCTTTTAGATGTTCTTGCTGCAGGTACGGGTGGTGGTGGCCCCCTCCCTGCTGGCTCAGGTACTGGGGGAGGGGGTCCTCGGGGTGCTATATTAATTGCACTAGTTCTTGGTTGAGGTAATGGTGGAGATGGGCTGCTCTTCCCAACAAACATACTGTGTACTTCTCGGCGTGGAACAGGTGTTGGTTTCCCAGCTTCTTTCTCAGACTCCTTGGTCTTTGCTGCACCCCAATCCACTTTAAGGCTGGACTCTACTTGATTGGTGACTATTTTATATTTGTCTTGTTCTATATTATCATCAGCAATTAAATTCCCTGTACTTTTTGATAACCCATGTGATTCTGCTAGCAGCCCATCTGGCTTATGTCTTGGTGCAGCCTGTGGCACTGAAGGGCTACTGTCCATCGATAAGTCGTATGTACTGGCTGCTTTTGTTCTTGGCATTGGTGCTAGGGGGAAATCATTATATAATTATCATAAGAAGAAATATGATACGGTGACTTCAAAATCAAATACAAATAATCAATACACAATAGAAACATTTACAAAAAATGAAAGTAAAAATTCTAAATAGCATCTTTAAAAATAGTAGCCAGCAGACAAGAAAAAAATATAAGAAATTTATTGAAATTTTTGAATACTTTGTTATATCACTAAAAAAAAACAAAACAACCCTGACCTGGTGCAGCCCCTGCCCCTGGCAATAAAGGTTCCGGGAGGTCACCCATGTCAATGGAGCTTTGAGCCATTAGTTTCTCTATTAATTTCTGAGCCTCCTCCACAGTGGTGGCATGTCCAGCATGGGAAACATTGGTAGGCAGGCCTATCATGCTTGGCTGGAAAAGCACATCAGTACTAAATTACTTCAAACTTTGCATTTTTTCATTGCTTATTGAAGTTAAGTGTTCATATATGTACTTGTTTCAAATTGAAACCCAAAACTTAGCTATGAAATAAATGGATCAGGATTACAACTGGACACCTTTAAACATTATGCAATGCAAATTGTCACCATTAAATCCCATCACGTCACCAAACAGTGACTGTATCACACTTACTCTAGAGGGTCTCTCAGATTTGGGCATCATTTGAGGCCTCATTGGTGGCTTGGCTTTTGCTGGAACTGCTTGAAAATATAATTGAAATATTCGTTAAAAAGTCAAAAGAAGAAAACCAAATCCCTAACTGAGCAATGGCTTAGATTTACATATAAAATATATCTTCTCAGAAAACTACAAACAACTTCATACAATCTATATTCACTGAAATCTGTTTTCACCTTTAGCTGGCCCTGTTACTTGGGGTGCCATGGGGGGCCTCTGAGGCTGTGGGGGTCTGGAGGGGGGAGCAGACGGCCTCTGGGGAGGAGGGGGCTTTTTGGGCTTCTGCAAATATTAGATATACATATATCTAAATGCAAAAACAATGGAATTATTTATTATTATGGTATCTGGGGTAGCGCTAGCAATTTTTTTCTCTTAGCCAAATCACCACTTTTTTGTAAATTTGTTATCAAAATGGTTATAATTTGACTAAAACAAGTCAAATCAAGCCCTTTTTCTTTAGCCAATTTAAGCAAGTTTTAGCATTTGGTTTAATTGGCAAGTGTTAGCGCTACCCCAGGGTATATTTACTGGAATTACATTGTTAACTATTATTGATCATACTAGTACAAGACTATATAAACAATCAATCATGACAATCAAACGATCATTCTTTTTTCATTTTAAATTTTATTGTATCAAACAGCTCTTAATAAAGAAGAAAAAGGTTCTACTTTTCGATACTTGCTTTACAACACTGTTAGACTCATTCACAGAACATAAAGACATGAAAACTGCCATTCTCAAAGATACATTGCTTACAGTGTATCATTCTAAAATGCTTGCTTACCTCTGTTGGTTTTGGAGAACTACGCAGTGGCTGTTCAAATTCGGCCACAATTCCGCCTGTCATATCAGACCCAGCATCAGGGGGAGGAGTCCCTGTTGGCTTATTAGCCACCCCCCTGGGGACTGGTGGAGCACCCATGGGTCTAGGAGGTGGCATTTTAATCTGAGTATTAGAACCAAAAATATCTGCTGGGCTGTTATTATCTGAAAAATAGTTCGTCTGTGTATTACATGATTGGAATAACACCAATCACACTAAACATACTAGTACATCAAACACCAAAATGCAGTAAAAGGTTGTGGGGTGTACCTCTGGAAATATTTGGGTTACACATCCCTATCTGTGTATGGTTATCATAAAGGCCATAATACACTGTACAAATATATGTATTAAACATTCTATCCTTTTCTTGAACATGTTACCTGCTGTAGGAGTGCCTGCTGGAGAGGGCTGTAAGGGCTGCTGGAGATTCTGCAAATTGAATGATGCTACCTCCTCATCACCCTCATCCTCAGCTATGTCACCTACATCAACAAAATAAAGAAAGAAAGAAAGTATAATAATCAGAAAGATAATAATTTCAATTTACTATTCCATTGTTTGCAGCCATACCACAAATATATAGAAAACTTATACCTTATAAATACACTGTGTTTTATTAACCTTGATCTTTATGAAATCTGTTGTTCTATATATGTTAATATTAAGAGTGAAAAGTGATTTTATCTTGTCACTATATAATGGAAATGACAATGGGCACAATTGAACTAGACAAGCTTTCTTCCAATATGAAACGACTGCCTCCCAGCAATCCCAATTACCTTCCATATCAAACAACATAGTTGGAATATTAAAATCCTCCAGCAATAAGCTGTTTGTGTTTCTGAGGTCCACCAACTCAAAGGTGTGGTCAGTACTGAGGTCCACCTCTCTCTCTATCTTAGCCTGCCAGTCTTGAGTCTTCAGCATTACACTGATGACTTTGCCTTGCACCTGAAATGACAATAAATAAATAAATAAATAAATAAAAGCTGAAAATTATTAACTCTTTCTTATCAACACTACACAAGTTCACTAACACCAGAATACAATAAACTTCAATGCTGTCATCTTGAATTTTTTAAACCATTACAATGCCTAAGATATTTATACCATTAAAATCAATATGGATAACTTGGTGATAAATGAAAACTTACTGTGAACTGGTCATATTTTAGAGCACTTAAAGCATTTTTCCCAGTTTTGAATGTGAGCAACATGTCATCTCCAACAAATCTAAACATAAAGAAAATAATATAGGTAATTTTTAAAGATTAACACTCTCTATTGGTATTATAATTAAAATACACCTCTACTTTAGATGACAACAGCCCAACAAAAATGATACTGGTAAGGTTATGTGTTAAAATACTCTATGCTGATACCTTACAAAATCAATTCTATAAGTTAATCGATCATACTGCCACAAAATTGAGGTCAAATTTCAATAATAAACTCCCTCACCATTAGACTGAAACATAACTGACTGCCTGGCAATATTCTTATTATTTCTACTGCTCAAACCACTATCAATCATCATTAAACTCACCTGACCAAAATGACCTCTCCCGCCTCAGCCACCAAGTTGAGGACATCGTCCACTGACTGGTCATCAAACTCGCCCCAATCTGCCATGCTGACCACCACAGTACCATCAGGGGGGCCTTGGTTACTGATCACATTCTTATAGATCTCTTCCCTTCTCTTCTCATCCACAGCCAGAACTTCTATATCCAGTAGAGCAATTACAGGCCTGGAATATGTGAGTGTGTGCTTATTAGATGTGGTATAGGGATATTATATGATATTATGGCATGAAAACAATACTTATTGTCAATAAGTAAATAAGTTAACAAAATAAATTTCTTGGCATCCTTAATTTCTTGATCACCATCACTCTACAGAGACTTCTCAGTCTTGGCTTGAACACATTATTTTTGAGTAGGATAACTAATTTTCATAGCATAATCATGTCACATTTGGATACAAGCACAGGTTGGCTTTAGAAAATAGGAGTAGTGAAGAAAACAAAAATCCCATTAAAAGTCCCTATAAAAAACCCTATTTTAGTTTTAATTTTTACATTTTCTAGTAATGTCTGGTTTACATAGCAAATTTGGAGAAATTTTGTTATTACAGTCTGGCACGAGCACACCTAGGTAGTTTTATAAATTGAACAGCATGTCATTATGTTTACCTGTGGTCTGACACCTTCAATTCTGCTCTGTTGTATAGTAACAGCTTTCCTGAGTTAGCTGTTGGATCTTCATCTATAATGGAGGCAACAATTATTGATTCAGCTTCATAACAAATGTATAATAAGTTTGCAATTTATGTAAAACATCAACTTGTTTTCACATATACCCTTTTAGCGAAATAATATATCGAATTAAAAAATGTCAGTTTAGTAGTATTTATTATGTACATGTTAGTGTCATTTGGTGCAGATGAAGTTAAACCTAGCACCAAATATAAATTGTGTAATAAGTAGTATTTTGGAGGGGAGTGGGGGGGGGGGTGGGGGGGGAC